GGGGCGGGTGGCTGCCCTCTTCCTTCGTCGCCGGGTGCTCGGTCCGGGGCGAAAGGCGGGATCTAGCGGCACGGAGCCGCCGCCCGCGAGGTGCCGTTGGAGGCGTCGGCTTCGTACCGCGTCGTGTCCGCGCGGCTCTCCCGCAGTTCGAGCTTTGCCGAACCCCCGGACGCTGACACGATGGAAAGGCAGGCGGAAGAGCTGACCGCCGGGGTGTCTGGCCGAGGAGTCACTTCCTGAAGTTGACCGCGAAGGGTTTCCGTGCAGCCGCCGTGGGCAGGCGCGGCCGACATCACTCGTGGAAGCAGAACTCGCTCGCTGCGTCCAGAAAGCTAATTGAAGGCAGGCCGAGCCTCACGCGGCATGTCTATTTTAAAGCTCACAAACGAAGGGCTCCACGTGTGGTTTCTATGGGGGGGGATGTTTGAGAGGTTTGGTCGAATTCATTTCAGCTGCTTGTGTACCCGAGAACTTTTTAAGGCTCTTTAACATGCGATGGCTTATTATGTTTTGATTAAAAGGGACACTTAATAATTAATAGTCAGTTAAGTCCCTGAGCAGATGGTTGATTGAGCCCCAGTAGGAATAGACTTTAAAAATAATTGTGCCATGAAGGTAAGGTGTATGTGCCATGATTGTCTGGGGGTAGGTAATGGAACCTGGCTGGGGAGTTGGGAATGAAACATGCTGACAGTTTTGAACTTTGTATGATGGTGATTGGGTTCCTCGTGTATTCATACTCCACCTTGCCTCATCCACTCAGTGGGGTTGAAATAGGTGGAGTCAGAAGGTAGCTTGTGTTAGTTGGAGCCAGGCACTGTTGGCAGAGGTGACAGAGACTGACATTTAAGGGCTGATGAGTTCTTGAAAAGTCAAGTGGAATCCAAGGGTCATAGTGGGAAGAGTGTTTTGCTAACTGCAAGGACCAATCACTGCACCTTGCAGTTTGGAAAGGGAGAGCACCAGAAGTGGAGTGACTGTCAATTCACACAGCATGTCAGTGGCCGGTTACCAACTTAGAATCTGTGTCACTTTGCTTATGTAAGGATCTTGTCACGTCTGTTAACAGACATGCCTTGAAACTGGGTGAAGATCCTTCTTTCCCACCAAGTAATCCATCTTTGCTCTGAGGAAAGTAGTTATATATTGTTCAAAAATCTCAAGGGGAGACAGCACATCTTGCTTTTCTTTTAAACACGCAAAGAATTTCCCTTTTTACTTTTTGATGATATGTACAGATTTCCCCCTCTGTCCCAAAGTAAAACATTCCCATGCAACCCTTCAGAGGCCAAAAATGGTGTCAAGTAAAGAAGCAATTACCATTCATTTATATGGGAAAGGTTTTGAGTATTTCTAGACATCCCCAAAGTAAGTCACCAAATCACACATGAAACCTGAAATCACACTCCTATACGAGGGGGCTTAAAAAAGTTTGTGGAAAAATGGACCAAACACCCTGTTTCCTCAATGGCACATAGCACAGCAAATAGTAAAGGCAAGTTTTGCCTTTCACATTTTTCCTTAAAATTGAAAATCCCTTAGGATTTCTTTGGGTTTGTGAAAACATACTTAAAAGCGGCCTTTTGTAAAAGCTGGGGGTTCTATAAAGCAAGCTTTCAAAAGCTAGTGTGCAGTGAAAACCAAACTGATCTCACTGCCATCGAGTCTGTTCTGACTCACTGACCTCAGAGTAGAACTGTGCCTGTAGGTTTCTGAGACTGTAACTCAGCTGTTCTCAACCTGTGGGTCGTGACCCCTTTGTGGGTCAAACGACCCTAAAACAGGGGTCGCCCGATTCATAACAGTAGCAAAATTACAGTTATGAAGTAGCAACAAAAATAATTTCATGGTTAGGGCGTCACCACAACACGATGAACTATAATTAAAGGGTCACAGCATTAGGAAGGTTGAAAACCACTGTTGTAACTCTTTACAGGAGTAGAACGTCTCATCTTTCTTCTGCAGAGCTGCTGGTGGTTTTGAACTGCTGACCTTGTGGTTAAGCAGCCCAACATGTAACCACTATACAGTGAAGTTCACAAATATTAAGCGTACATGTTCTAGATCAGCTTATCTAAAAGAGGTTGGGAATGATGTTCTTGATACAAATGATACTGAGGATACCAGTGAAAAGAGATGGGGGAAGCCAGATAATGCCAGAGAAAAGGCTAAGCAAGGATGTCTTCTCAGCTTGAGAATAGCCTGATCCTCCCAGGCAACTCCGAGCCTGGTTGACACCCTAGAGTTGCTGCTCTCCATTGTGGGCTAGTCATTTACAGGCTGCCCCAGGGTGAGGTTGGGGAGAACGTAGAAAGTGCATAGCCAAGGACCATTCTTCAGAGAGGATGGCAGCCATCTTGCAACAGCTGGGGAATGGGTGCACTGGCCTGGTAAAGGGATCTGTGAACACCAACAATATCTGCAGGGTAAGGATTCTTCCATGGGTACACTCCTTGGGACCATTCTTCAGAGAGGATGGCAGCCATCTTGCACCAGCTGGGGGATGGGTGCACTGGCCTGGTAAAGGGATCTGTGAACACCAACAATATCTGCAGGGTAAGGATTCTTCCATGGGTACACTCCTTGGGACCATTCTTCAGAGAGGATGGCAGCCATCTTGCAGCAGCTGGGGGATGGGTGCACTGGCCTGGTAAAGGGATCTGTGAACACCAACAATATCTGCAGGGTAAGGATTCTTCCATGGGTACACTCCTTGTGATCCATCAACTCCAAACCACGCCGGTGCCATCCAGCCCGTATCAATTCCTAGCGTCCCTGGAAGACAGAATGGAAGTGCGTGTGGGCTTTCAGGGCTATAGACGGCCACCTCTCTCTCCCATGGAACAGCTGGAGGACCTCTTGGTTGGCAGCCAACTGCTTCAGCACTGTGCCCCAGGGCTCTTTTGTGACCCACCATTAGTAGTAGACCACTGCTCTGGAGTAAATTCTGACACATAGTGACGCTATATGACAGGAAAATGGTTCCTTAGGGTTTCAGAGACTGCAAAGCTTTACAGGAGCAGAAAGTCTTGTCTTTCTCTTGGGGAGCAGCTGGTCGGTTTGAACTTCGAACTCCTGACCTTGAGGTAGCAGCCCAATTGCTTAATCCACTATGTCACCAGGGTTCCTTTTGTGACCAGGATTCACACCAAAATATGACCCTTTGCAGTGCCCTATAATCCTCCGTTTTCAATACTCTCCTTCAAAGGCGATTGCAATTGCCATGCCGCTCCCCCAACAAAACCCAACCCTTAAAACCAAATCCACTGCCACTGAGTTGAATCCACATACAGGGTTTCTGAGCCTGTAAATCTCTACAGGAGCAGACAGCCTCATCTTCTACAGAGATTAGTTTTACCTGTTGCTATAGTTTGGTGATGTTTGTTTCTAAATCTGGCAGCTTTGGTTTGGCATTACTCAACCCGTATTGTAATCCACCCATATTGTCTGTGATAGTGCTTCCTTTTCATTGTTTTGTAGGAGCCCTGGTGGTGTGGCGGTTAAGTTGCTTGACTACTACCCAACAAGTTGGCAAGAGAAAGATGAGCCAGTCTGCTCTCCATAAAGATGTGCTCACTGCTGTCAAGTCGATTCAACTCATAGCAACCTGTCGAGCAGTTCTACTCTGTCCTAGAGTTGCCACGGTGCAGAAGCAGCTCATTGGCAATGGGTTTGATTTAAGGGGCCTTGGTGGCATGGAAGCTCAGTGCTGGCTGCTAACCAAAGGTTGATGGTTTGAGTTTATTAGCCACTCTCCTGGAGAAAGATGTGCTAGTCCACTTTCGTAGAGATTAATTATCCTCCGAGGCAGTTCTTTTTTGTCCTATGGGTCATTATGAGTTGGAATTGACTTGATGGATTTGGTTTGATTTTCGTATTGTATGAAGATACTGTCATTTATTTCTTATAGAAGTTTGTGTCCCCTTTTGGTGGACATACAAGTATATATTCATATGCTTAGTCAAAAAGTTATGTGTCTATTTAACTCCTGTGAAGTACTTTTTCTGCTTATGCTCTAGAAATGGCATGAATTTCCATTTCTCTACTTCTTGCCAGTACTTCAAACAAACAAACAAACCCCAAACACTGTTTATTGTAAATTAGGTGAAGAGTTACAGAGTTTTACATCAGTTTTACATTTAACAATCCGCACACATTTTGCTCCAGCTTATGTATTGCATTTCCCTCGATGTACTGTGTTAGTCTGAGTAGACTAGAGAAACAAATCCATAGAAACGCATGTGTATAAGAGAGAGTTTTATATAAAGGTTACCTGTTTTATATAAAGGGTAATTGTATATTACGAAAGCATCCCAACCCAGTCCAGTCCAAGTCTGATGTTAGCATATGTCTGATACCAATCTATAAAAACCTCTTCAGACTCAGGGAACACACGCAATGACGCCAAATGCAGGACAGTCACTGGCCAGGGTGTAGAAAGTCTTTGGGTCCAGTGGCATTGTAAACATCTCAATGCTGGCAGGCATCTCTACGTGGCTTCTCCAGCTTCAGAGGTCTGGTTGCATCAGGGTAGTTCCATGTGTCTTGTCAGCTGCAATAGTCTTCCAGGGAGTGTCTCCCACCTCCAAGGAGGAAAATCCAGGAGTTCACAGAATTCTCAGAAGAAGGCCATGCCCACACAGAGGCCTCATTGGTTATGATCTCATTGACAGACTAGACTCCACCCCCACACCCGCAATCCTCAAATTGACAAACGATTGTATAACTACCACAGTACTATTTTTTAAAATTAATCATTTTATTGGGGGACTTTTACAAATCATCTGACAATCCATCATTCAGTTGTACATATGTTGCCATCAACATTTCCAAAACATTTTCTTTCTACTTGAGCCTTTGGTATCAGCTCCTCTTTTTTTTCCAGTGTACTATTTTTTAGCCCATTTCCTCTCCATGTGTCCTATTCCTGATCCCATGCCTCTTCCTTATCTAACCCCATATACTTTGTCCTTGGGTAAATGCTGCTTTTTTTTTTTTTAATCTCAAATGACTATTCTAACTATTCTGCCTCCATCATTTTTTAATCAAAACTTGGCATTTCAAGCCCTTTAAATGAGTGCAGTTCTGGTGAGGACAAGTGATCATTGCTGGGGATTTTCTTTTTAAGTTTCCTGACAGCAACCAATGATGTTGAATAATTGCCAAGTCTAAACCAAACTCATTGCCATTGAGGCAACTCCGACTCAAAGTGACGATCAGACAGAGTAGAGCTGCCTCACAGGATTTCCGAGACTGTAAATGTTTGTGGGAGCTTGACTTGATGGCAGGCAGTGAGGTTGGCTTTGGTTTTGGTAGGCACCTTCCAGTCATGCTTTTGTGACAGTTTCCTTTGCCCACCCATGCCCTTTTTAAAGCTTGGTATCTCAGCGACTCCTTGGATGCCATTTCAAACTTGCGTTGGCGGTCTCCTTCATCCAGATGACGGGCTTGTGTCTTTGTCTCTTCTAAGACTTAGCGAATATTCTCTTTAAATTATATTCATGATCGCATCTCTTTTGTACCCTAAAATGTACCCTAACTCTGGTGCTCAGAGGGCCCTAGAGTTGATCTTGTGAGCTTTCTTTCTTTTTTTTACAAGAACAATTGAATATTTTATTATTATTATTATTAAAAGATCATTTTAACGGCTCTTACAACACTTGTTACAATCCATACATCAATTGTATCAGATATATTAGTACATATATTGCCATCATTCTTTCTAGATATTTACTTTCCATTGAGCCCTTGGAATCAGCTCCTCTTTTCTTCCCTCCCTCCCCCACCCTCACCCTTGTGGCCCCTTGATAGATTATAAATTGTTGTTATTTTCATATCTCACACTGAACGCTGTGTCCCCCCCCCTCCCCAGTTTCTGTTGTTCTTCCCCCTGGAGGAGAGTGCCATTCGTTGAGATTGGTTCCCCCTTCCTCCCATCCTCTACCCATCTTCCCCCTGCCCTTTTGGTATCGCTAGTCCCATTCCTGTTCCTGGATTCCATGTGTTGTGAGCTTTATCTCTTGTCTGTACCGATGTACATGTTCCGGTCCAGTCCAGAGTAGGAAGCAGCACTGGGGTCATGACAGTGGGGGGTGAGGAAGCCTCAGGGAACCAGGGCTATATTGTGTGACTCATTGGTGATCTATTGCACCCTGATTGACTCATCCCTTCCCTGCGACCCCTCTGTGGGTGAATGTTCCATTGTCTACAGATGGGCTGTGGGTCTCTGCTCTGACCCGCCTCGTTTTCAACATGTTTTTGTTTGTTTGTTGTTATGAATCTTCTGATGCCTGTTACCCAGTCTCCCGATGACACCTCATGATCACCAGCTGGTGTGCTTCTTCCATTGGGCTTGTTGCTTCACTGTTAGATGGCCACTTGTGTAACTTCTAGCCTTTAAGACCCCAGATGCTATATCTTTTAATAGCCGGACACCATCTGCTTTCTTCACCACATTTGCTTATGCACCCATGTTGTCTTTGGCAATCAAGTGTGTTGGGGGTGGGGGTGCTGTTTGTGAGCTTTAAGAGGAATTTCTTTTTTCCCCACTTTTGATAATTAGCTATATTTAAACGAACTTTTTGGTAGGAGCCCTTGGAGACATAGTAGTTATGCCTCGGGCTGCTAGCTGCTACCAAAGATCAGTTCAAAACCACCAGCTGCTCTGTGGGGAAAAGACTGGGCTTTTTATTCTTGTAAAGAGTTACGATCTCAGAAATTCACAGGGGCAGTTCAACCCTTCCCTGTGGGGTCGCTATGGGTCAGCAGCAACTTCATGGCAGTGAGTTTGGTTTTGGATATCATTAATAGCCTCATCTGGATGGTTTCCTTCATCGGGTGATTTGTTCTTGTCTTTGTCCTGTTTGAGACTTAGTAAAGGGGTCTTTATAAGATACTTGATCTTGGGTCTTTTCCCTTAGAACAGTTTGAGGCACCTATCTTAAACAGCCTGACACTTAACCCGCTGCACCACCAGAGTGCCCTTTCCTTAATTTTTTTGTTGTTACCTAAGTTCCTTTCTTTACTTAAAAATAACCCCAGACAAACAGATAAGGGTGGGTGTAGATATATAAAATATGCAGGTAGGCAGGAATAATTGTAAAATTATTTTGCAGGTTTCTAGTTGATATAAAAGTAGCAGTAGAATCATGATCTCTTTAGTCTGTTTAAATTTTGGACAGTTTTAGGTTTACATAAAAATTGATCAGGTAGGGGAACCCATTAACAAGGATCTACATATAACCTCCTCACTGGGGATGGACAACAGAAAAGTGGGTGAAGGGAGACGTCGGACAGTGTAAGATATGACAAAATAATAATAATTTATAAATTATCAAGGGTTCATGAGGGAGGGGGAGCGTGGAGGGAGGGGGAAAATGGCCTGATACCAAGGGCTCAAGTAGAAAGCAAATGTTTTGAGAATGAT